TAGTTTGGTTGTAGATTCGGTCTTGCAACTTGCAGTCTCGACCTTGTCCCGCTGACCGGTTTGCTCGCGGACCTAAATCCTTATGTCCGGGACGGGGGTTTGTTTGCGCAAAACTCTGTTGTCGGAATCGACACCAGATGTCACTCGGCTCGGCGCGATTCCGGTCTGAAGTTCTTCCGAGCGTGGCAGTGGCGCGCGGGTCGCAAGCGAGTCAGTCATCGGCCAGATGTGCTAATGTTTGCACGCTGTTAATTTTGTGCGGGAACCGCGGAATAGTTAGGGCGTCTAGTAAATATCCTGTCTAGGAATTATAACGCGCATTCCCTGTTTGGATAGCCTTTCCCGGGACTTATTGGGTCCGACTCAGAATCTGTATAAGTGCATTCGACAATATAAGCTAGTGCTGCCTCCGTATTTAGAACTATCTGTTGCCACGCGAACCGGTAGTGACCTTTGACCCAGAAACTCCGGGCGTGTTTTGTGCGGTAACCTTATACCCCGCGATAGTTAGTGGCTTCGGTACGCTAGTTAATAGTACGATAGAGTTAAGTGACTGTCATCGTGGTGAACCAAGAAAGTGACTGTGGATAACCTCGAAAGGCCCCCTCAAGTTGGAGCGGTGTCGACGCTCGGGCTGCTGCCGACGGCTAAGGTCTAGGTTCAATCACCATCAGTCACACCCAGATACACACCACATCACCATTCTTTCCCTTGCACTACACAACCACATGCGACCTGACCGACTCCGGAGGGACCAGTCGCCTTGGATAGAGGTAAGTGAACTCCGCCAAATTCCTTCCGGTCGACTGTCCGTAGTATAACTCTCCCCCATATATTTTAGAGTAATTAGAGAGATTCCACGTGGCCTTAGGAGGTCCGACCTACGTCTGTTCGGAGGTCTTCAGCTCATGGGCCCCTGAAGATTGGATCCTTTAAGGGAGCAGCCGTAGGCCGTAACAATTATTATAATATTATTAATAATATGCTTGCAATTTGTTACTAATTTTATCAAATTTTATACTATTTAATTATTATAATTATGAAAAAATTTTAACTTTATTTTATTTGTAAAAATATGTCTAACGACAGCGCACTATTAAATGAATGACCACCTATTGTATATACATACCTGTGTTTCACAAATAAAAATTTCGATTCTGATTCCTAGTCTGATTCTGAAAAAAGAATCAAAATTCAGATGTGTTGTCACCCCTAAGAATTAAGATGGAATGCCTCGTTTACAGTCAAAGGGTTTCTGGTTATCTTCACTCACCATATGAAACACAGCATTATATTTTACGCTGGTATTCTGTGAGAGCGTGGTCTTCCCCCGGTCGAGCCGACCAATTCATGTTACAACAATAATATATCTGCAGCATGGCTGTACCGTGTATGGTATGTACTGTTATATTTGTTCTCGGCTTTTGAGGTTCGTCAAACGTTTCTTTTAGGCTCGGCAAACGATGTGCCGTCACTTTATAAATAACTAACAGCCACGCGGCAGCTTTTCCTGTCGCACGGATGGGCCGGCTCGAACCGGGGTGGTACCACGACCTCACAGAATACCAGCGTGAAGTAGAGGTTTACCTCTGCGTTTCGCTTGGTGAGTGCAGGTGGCCGGAGGCCCTTTTTACTGGAAATGAGGCATTCCATCTTAGTCCTCACAGGTGGCAACGCATCTGCATTTTGATTCGCAAACGAGGATAGATGGAGATGTCTATGTGCCGCAGCAACCACTTACCAACAGGTGGACTGTGTGCTCGTTTGTCACCCTTATCCTATAAAAAAAAACGAGTAGCTTATAATGTAAATTTAAAATAACACTAATAATTGGACATGTTACACCTGTCGGGTCCAGTTTTTTTATGGGACAGTGGATTCCCTTACGTCGCAACTACAAGGCAATACTGTCGACATATTTACATTATATTGCTGGACTTAAGCCTCTCTTATCCTAGGGAGCCCACGTATCTAATATGTAAATTGTTAAACAAGCGAATTGAGGCGACAGCCGGTCCTGATTGAATAACGCTATTGAACTTCGACCTCGGTAACATCGTGAACTTTGAATTAAATCAATTTGTGTGCAAATTTTATCTGAACAATATGTCGCAAATTTAACTATATTACACTGAGTTATTAATCAAATATGGGATCTGTTGTATTTGCCATAATTCCCAAGAACTTTTTTTTATAAAAATATGGGTAAATATACAGTCCACCAGTGAGTGAGTGGATGTAGCCCATAGACAACTACGCTACATCTATCCTCGATTAAGAATCAAAATGCCTTGTCACCCCTTAGGACTAAAATTAAATGCCATGTTTGTAGTAAATAAGGTCTCCTGTTCCACATTCACCATAAGTAACACAGCGGCATTAAGAACCTCAATATCAATTCGCTATTCAGCTCTGAAAATGACTGTGATCCCGCGAACTGATTTCAAAAAGAAAGTGACGCTTATATTATTAACTTGAACTTAAAAATATCCCTTGAAAATTCAAACAACGGTAAAGTTTATTAACCATGTGATGGCATTGTAAGAATATCCACTACCCTACACCCACAGGGGTGTCGTAAGAGGCGGCAGAGGGAAACAAATCAGGAGATGGAGTCTTCCTTATAACGACTAAAAATAAAAAATAAACTGTGCTTGCCAAGCGTGGCAACTATGGCAAATATCCCCCTTTCAAAAGGAGCCCTATGTTCAGCGGTAGATTTTAAATTTAATAGGCTGTAATTTGTAAGTGTAAATTGTTGGTGGTGATGGTATGATATTTACATTTAGATCGAGTGGTTAGCCTTAGCTGAAGTATCACGGCTCTCAATATTTACTAAATAAAATTAAAAACTACATTGCCCTGTTGTGAGGGAAACGTCGTGAGGAAATCTGCATCTATTTGTTATATAACCTTTTCAAAAAGTAAAGGAGGCATGTGCCAAGCTACGTGACGTTTAAAGACTCCAATTTCATTATATTATATTACAAAGATAAGCCAGAAAAATAGAAATAAAAAAATACGTTGAACCCCCTTGTTGATAACACATTGAAAGTGAAAAAAAAAATATTATAACACAAGTGGTAAAATTAAAAATTTTGTACAACTGACTTCAATATAAATTAATAAGGATAACTGAGAAACTACTGGTCAGATGTTGATCAAATTCTTTTATTTATTTGAAAGCACCAGCTTTCAATAGAATCATCAAAATCGGTTCACATAGCAAAAAGTTGTGAAGTAACACCAATAAAAAATACAGTCGAATTGAGTACCTCCTCCTTTTTTAAGTTGGTTAAAAACAATAGAAGCGAACATTATTTGATAATGGTATTACTTTTGTCTCCAAGGATTAAAAAATGGAACAACATCGGACAAGAAACCATTAATATTGTATAAAAATAGGGTAAATGTGTCTGAACCCTCGTATTTTTCATGACAACCTATCAAAAGTTCACTGATGAACATAGGCCTCCCTGTAGATTGCTTGACAGGGGGAAAATTTGTCATAGTTGTCACGTTTGGCAAGCGGCTTGGCAACTGCGGTTGGGCAAATGCGGTTTTTTTTATCATTCAAACAAAAATCAAGTAGATGCTATTATTGATTTCTTTGAAATAAAACTAATTTTATGGACTTTATCGCATTTAATTTAAATTTTCTTAATTTCCGACGTATCGCAACACCAATGATCCCGGGGAGGGGGAGGGATCGAGATATTTGACGTTGCGATATCATAGTTAATGAAGGCTGCCTTCATTTTTATTAATATTAATTTTTGATCGTACACTTGACGGGCGGTAAGAACTGGCTAATCTTCTTCGGGGGTTCGCAGTATATTCTTATTGAAGCTCGCTTTAAGATATAGCCACTGTTGTCTTTGACTCCTCTGACATATGGTAGTAAATCAGCAACGGTCAACTGTGCCCGGTTTCACGCGGTCACTGTAACGGAGGCGCGGAATTGCGCGGTGGTCAGGTGTTTTCTGTCAATCTCTGAAGTCATGCTCTTGTCATGGTTTTACTCAAGCCCTAGGGGTCGGGGTCCAGGCAAGATAAGAAACAAATGTGCGGTGTTTTTGGTATAAGTTATTTAATTGTAACATAAAAGCCTACAACAACTCAACACTACAAAACAATTAACTAAATAGTTTTAAGCATAAAAAAACTACAAATTATCCTAACTCTAAGATATGTAAGCACTAAAATTTTAACTAATTCTACAGCTACGCATTAACTAGAAAAATAAAATGAAATATAATAAAACATAAAATTTACCACTAGCTCTTTTACTTTAGTAAACAAGACTTATAAATAAAGTATCATTACAAAAAATGCAAACTTAATAAATAATAAAAGAAAAAGCAAAATCATAAAAATAAATTTCCATATTTTTATTCGGAGGTTTGAACCATGAATTTGAAGAAGTCGCCCAATGTACTAGGCCGCTATCCCGATAGGCTATGCCTGCCGATGACGTTTCAAGTCAAATTAGGATATAGTATCATCTCTCTATGTCCTCATGTTTTATGACGAAGTAGATTTTCTAATAATTCTTTGCCAGAGATATAGGAAGGCGTATGATCACAATTAACTTAATGGGCGTTTCCACAGACTGAAATAAGTGCATAATCTAAGAATACTATCGCAAAGTTACTCAGACTACAACATAAGAAATACTATTAAACACTTACCCCGTTGCACCTCTAAAATTAACGTTCCACGAATAAAATATGTATTTAAATAATACAAAATTAACTGATACACAGCTATAATATGTACGTAAACTTTTGTGCATCAAACTTCCAATGTCTGACAAAAATTCCCACTTCTCGCGATCGCGACTGCGGCCCTCCGCTGTCCGTAACCAATTCCTACCCTCCAATATTTTTCCAAGTTGAGAAACATGACCCATCTCAATTATGACGTAAATCGTAACATTATTTTTTTATCATCACATATCCCCCCTCATCAAATGGAATCCAACCGGATTCAGCTAGATCTCAAATTATCCGTTTCAGGTCAGAAGTGTGCCATGTACCCAAAAGTTTGCCGCGTAAACTTTTCAAAATATAAACATCGGCTGACACCTTCTCCGAAATAACAGCTTTTTCGTACTTTGGAGATAACTTGGCCATAAAGTTTTTATTAGCACATGATTGTGGTTTTGTTTTCTTCCAAACCAACTCTCCCACATTGAAATTGCATATTCGTCTTCTTTTATTATAATTTTTGCTATTAATTTCATAAGCCTCTCGCAGCCTCTTGTTTACGTCTTTATATATTTCTTCTCTAAGTCTCAAATTATTTTCAAAATAGTTTCTATTTACATTAACATAATCATCTTTATCTGGCCCGAAATCAATTTTGTTTTGTAAGGAGGTTTCTCTACCAAAAAACAAGTATGAAGGTGTCTTGCCCGTTATTTCATGTATAGCAGTTCTAATGGCATGGCCTATATGAGGTATAAATTTATCCCAATCTTTATGATTATCTTCGATATATGACGCTATTGCAGTACCAATTACTCTATTTACTCGTTCTGTAGGATTGGCTTGAGGATGATAATAAGGCGTATACCAAATTTTAGAATTGTAATTCGTAATTAATTCTTTAAACTGTGATGAAATAAACTGTTTCCCATTATCACATATCACTGTTCTTGGTACTCCAAATATGAGAAATATCTGTTCTTCGATAATTCTAACGATTGTTGATGTTTTACCATTTCTCAAGGGAAACAATAATACAAACTTGCTAAACCAGCATGAAACCACAAGTAGCATTGTATTGCCAGTCTTTGATCGTGGAAAAGGTCCCATTAGATCCATGGAAACTATTTGAAAAGGCTCTGTTACTTCTTTGTGTTTGCCCATTTTCCCAATTGGCGGCAGTTGACTAGGTTTATGTTTAGAGCAAGTCTCACATTTCCGTACGTAATCTTTAACATCTTTAATTAAGGACGGCCAGAAATAATGTTGTCTTGTTCGATTTATGGATTTCTTAATTCCTAAATGTCCTGCTGTTGGACTGTCGTGACATTCTATTAGGATTTGTCTTCTCAATTTTTCTGGGATTGCTATCTTCCACGAATCTTTTTCATCTGGAAATTGTTTAAGTCTCAAATATTTCCACAATATACCTTGATTAAGTATCCAATCATCTCTGCCTTTTCCCTCCGTTATCTCTTTTTCAATTGAATTATACCAGTCATCTTTGTCATCTGGTTTAATATCTATAATATTTATTTCTTTATCTGGAATTGCTCTTGATAGTGCATCCGGTACAATATTATCTTTACCCTTTCTATATATTACCTCGAAATCAAACTGTTGCAACCTCATTGCCCATCTAGCCAACCTTCCATGTGGATCCTTATTCTTGTAAAGCCATTGCAAGGCGCTATGATCAGTTATAACCTTAAAGTGCGTGCCTTCTATGTACGGCCTAAATTGTTCAACCGCGTGAATCACACTTAGTAACTCTCTTTCGGAAGTAGAGTACTTTGTCTCTCTTTCTGAAAATTTTCGGCTAGAATACGCAACTGGTCTCTCAATACCATCGCGAGTTTGAAATAAAACAGCGCCCGTACCTTTATTTGAGGCATCGCACTGTATAATAAATTCTAAATTGAAGTCAGGACAGCTCAGTACCGGAGTAGAAGTTAATGATGTTTTTAGATCAATGAAAGCACTTTCGGCTTCTGCGTCCCATTTAATTTTCTGACCTTTTTTCAAGCCTTTAATAAGATCGTGTAAAGGAGCAGCAACAATTGCAAAGTTCTCCACAAAACGTCGATACCAACTCGCCAGTCCTAGAAAACGTTTTAACTCTGTATATGTGTTTGGTCTTGGATAGTTCAAAATGGCACTAACTTTTTCTGGGTCTGTTCTTAAACCTTCCTTATCAACAATATAGCCTAAGTACTTTAATGAAGGACGAGCGAACTGGCACTTCTCAAAATTTACTGTGAGACCTGCTGAGAGTAACTGCTTTTTAACCAAAGTCAACGACTTAATGTGATCTTCAAAAGTCTTACTACATACCACAATGTCATCCAAATAGGCAAAGATTTTACCCTCATGCTCTGGTGGAAATAACTTGTCCATTAGCCTCTGTTGCGTTTGACTTGCATTTTTAAGACCGAAAGGCATAACCTTGAATTGAAATAAACCCTTACCTGGCAAACCAAATGCTGTTTTTTCTTTACTCGTAGTTTCTAATGGTATTTGCCAAAATGCCGATTTTAAGTCAAGAGTTGATAGATACTGAGCATTCTTTAAACTGTCCAAAATAGACGTAACTCTTGGCAAGGGATAGGAATCATTCTTTGTTGTCTTGTTTAGTTGTCTACTATCTAAACATAATCTATTAGAGCCTGATGCTTTTTTTACTAAAAGAACCGGTGATCGCCACGAGCTAAACGATGGTTCAATTATGTCTTTTGCCAACATTTCATCCACTTCCTTTTCTAATTCCTGCATGATATGTGGTGAGAAGGGATATTGCCTTTGAGTAACGGGCATGTGTTCTCCTGTATCAATGAGGTGCTCTATTAAGTTCGTTCTTCCTATACCCTCGCCTATAGAATACTTTATATCTTCAACCACTAAGCCTAAGGTTTTCGATTGATCCTCTGTCAACTCATGTCTTGATTTAACCGAATTGCTTATATTTATTATTGCTAATTCACCATTAGATAATTTTTGGATATTTTCATGTTTAATGATATCTTCTGTATATCCAATGGTAAGATTAAAATGATCAAAGAAATTCATACCGAAGAGGAGATCATGTCTTAAATTATCCATAATGTAAAATTTCACCACTTTATACCGTTTCATAAACAGTATTGGCAAATAAATTACTGATTTTATATTGTAGGATGTTCCATCTGCCATGGAAATACTCAACTGAGGTATTTCATGGATTGAGAATCCCAAAACCATGAATTTACGACTTAAGCCTCTAGAAATCACCGAAGATGTGGCCTCTGAATCAAGTAATCCCAAGAAAGATTTGTTTAAAATTTTAACAAGAGCGTAATGACGGTTGTCATTACTTTTTGATACGATATTGCATAACTGGCCAGTTTCAAAGTAATGAGAAACAACCTTTAACCAATTCTGCCATTCTTCATCTTTAAAATCTGAAGCTGTCTTGGAGGTCATTTGGCAGGAGTAATGACCTCCTGTTTTTCGTTTCCCGAACATGTGCAATTTTTTACCGTTTGGCCAAATTTGCCACATTTATAGCAAAATAACCTTTGACGAGGGAGCGTACAATTTTTAAACGTATGACCAGCAACACGACAATTCCAGCATTTTATATTTTGTAGGCCAAAATTTCTTACATTAAATGTCGATGCTATTTTTGTCACTTCATTAACTTCCGCAAGAGAGTGTCCTTGATATGCTAGGTCCGGCTCCAGAGTAGTACTAGTGTTTGTTGGTTCTTGGAAGTTTTCACAGTTAGTTCTTGTGCGTTCTAAGACTCTTAACACCGATGTTAATTCTGATACGGTATTAAACTGATCTCTGCAAACTGCAAGTTGAAAATATGGCTGTATATTCTTCAATAAGATGGAAAGTTTTTGTTCTTCATTAATTTTCTCTGGAAGTCTGTTAAACATACTCTGCATAACAGCTAGATAGATAGCAATCTTTTCTCTCTTACCTTGAGTTCTCTTCTTTATTTCTTCTAATAACTCGTCCTGATAATAGGGTCTCTGAAAGGTAACTAAAGAAGGTTTACCAATTCCTCCCAACTGTTCACGTACTCACGGTTAGCTCTAAACCATATAAGCGCCTCACCTTCAAAAAAATCCACCGCATATCTCCATAAATCATTAGTATTAGCATTACGTGCTTCCCTAAGTTCAGCTATCCTTTCCAGGAAGGCATTAACGCTTACGTCACCCTTGCCGGAAAATTTAACGCCCCAATCTTTAATAGGCACAAGTTTTCTAAAACCTAACTCATTTTCTACAATAGATTGATATGATATTTTCTCAGGACCTTCTTGCGTTTTAGGAAAACTCCTATCCTTTGAACTGTAACTTGTTTCTGGCTCTATAGTTCTGTGCCTTGACTGTAAATCGATATGTGTGAGTATATCTATCGCTTCTTCTCCAAGACTGCGATGGAGTATTTCTTTATCCTTTTTAGAAATCTCTGCTTCACTCTCACTTTTATCTTCATCCTTCACATCCTTTGTAATTACTGTCCCGTAAAATATTTGAACATCCTTACATAGTTTTATATGACGGTCTATGTCTGATTCACTAGGGATAATTAGTTTGACCCGGTTAAGCAAGTGTTGGAGGCGCGAAGCTAGCCGTTTTTTTATATCACCATCAGGATCTTCATCGAAGGCCGATTTTAGAAATTGCAATTTTTTTTCACAAATTTCAATCTGGGACAGGGCGTCCTTCGTACAACAAGACGGGACAACTACGTTTATACTGGAATCGCCTTCCCGCTCTCTTATAAAAATTTGTTTAAGGACTTTACGCATAACTTTTACTGTTTCTAAGCCCCGAATACCACGGCAAGCTAACTCAAATTCAAGTTCATCCTTCAATAAATCATGGGCATCAATCTTGTCCATTTTATTTTAAATGAAATGTATATTATATATATTTTACGAAGATATATTTTTTTAGAGAAAGTAAACAAGATGTTTCCTAGACCACATGTAAGTACACAAAATGATATCATATGACACAATAGTCAATAATATAAATTATAAGGCAATAACTAACCAATTCACACAATTGTTTCAAGGATCTTTACCCGTGGGCGCCATTTGTCATGGTTTTACTCAAGCCCTAGGGGTCGGGGTCCAGGCAAGATAAGAAACAAATGTGCGGTGTTTTTGGTATAAGTTATTTAATTGTAACATAAAAGCCTACAACAACTCAACACTACAAAACAATTAACTAAATAGTTTTAAGCATAAGAAAACTACAAATTATCCTAACTCTAAGATATGTAAGCACTAAAATTTTAACTAATTCTACAGCTACGCATTAACTAGAAAAATAAAATGAAATATAATAAAACATAAAATTTACCACTAGCTCTTTTACTTTAGTAAACAAGACTTATAAATAAAGTATCATTACAAAAAATGCAAACTTAATAAATAATAAAAGAAAAAGCAAAATCATAAAAATAAATTTCCATATTTTTATTCGGAGGTTTGAACCATGAATTTGAAGAAGTCGCCCAATGTACTAGGCCGCTATCCCGATAGGCTATGCCTGCCGATGACGTTTCAAGTCAAATTAGGATATAGTATCATCTCTCTATGTCCTCATGTTTTATGACGAAGTAGATTTTCTAATAATTCTTTGCCAGAGATATAGGAAGGCGTATGATCACAATTAACTTAATGGGCGTTTCCACAGACTGAAATAAGTGCATAATCTAAGAATACTATCGCAAAGTTACTCAGACTACAACATAAGAAATACTATTAAACACTTACCCCGTTGCACCTCTAAAATTAACGTTCCACGAATAAAATATGTATTTAAATAATACAAAATTAACTGATACACAGCTATAATATGTACGTAAACTTTTGTGCGTCAAACTTCCAATGTCTGACAAAAATTCCCACTTCTCGCGATCGCGACTGCGGCCCTCCGCTGTCCGTAACCAATTCCTACCCTCCAATATTTTTCCAAGTTGAGAAACATGACCCATCTCAATTATGACGTAAATCGTAACATTATTTTTTTATCATCACACTCTCAATGAAAAAAAAAAAGAAACAAAACTCTTCCCACGGTAGCTAACTGTAAAAGATGGTGGTGAGAATCACCGTTTAAATGTCTATCTCTACTCTTTTTTCTCTACACAGTATGGCACATGGTTTTATCAGTGTTCCGAATTACTAATACATCTTGAAAAGCGAAATAATTATTTGCCTCTAACTCCATTGTGAACTCAATTTTAGAATTTATGGAATTATGCTGGTCTAAATATGCAGTTACTTTATTTAAAGGTAGAATTGTACCTAAAGATGAATGTATCATCTACGCACTGCTTGCAGAAGTATTAATTTCATTGAGAAGATGGCTGGGTGCTAACATCTGCTTGGAATCCTACAATTAATAAAATTAAATCCCAACCCAAGCATATAACTGCAAGTCTTCAAGATAATATAAGTTCATACTGCGTAAATCGAATTAAAAAATAATAAATTTAGTTAGAAGTTAGCCGTGGCTAACTGACATTGGGACGTCGAAAACCTCAGTCTTCCTTGTGACCATGGGTGCTGTAAAGCACCCGAAACGTCGGGAATTAAAAACTCAAATAAAACGAAAAATTAATAAAAAATTATAACATTGAAGTGCATAAGCACATGAACTCCTGCAACTATCTTAAAATAAAAAAGTTACAGTTGCAATACTATTCTCCGTGGACAAAAATTGAACGTATCTGGCGTTGCGTTATATGTACTACATACTAGAGAAGCCATTCTAAATAAAAAATATGCACTACGCTATGTCTTCGCGCATGCGCGGGAGATAATAGAGTCGCGAATGTGCAGTTGATTTAATCGCGTTGCGCCTGAGCGGTCAGTTTTTAATTTTAACTTTAATTTGAAATCTTGTATTATTAGCTCCGCTCTGTGGAGTGTGCTGCATGTATGTTGAAACCACAGACTAACTAGTAGATTGAAACCACACTAAATGACACACTGTACGGATTGCAGTACAGTTCAGTTGACCATAGTGTATGTTCGGTATCTGTCGTTTTTTTTGCATTCCGTTTTTCTCGGAATTACAGTTTACAGTTCAATGGGTCCCTCATATATCTGAACTAGCTAGCGAACTTAGTTCTGCAATATATGCTGTAAAATGATTGAAGCCCTTACATATGTTGAAACAGATTAATTTATTTTAGATATTATTTTATATTATACTAAGTCAGCACCTAACTACATTCGCAACCGATGGCAAGTGGTGATAAAGCCTAAGACATTGAAGCGCACTGACTTAACAAAAGCCTTTTCACGCTTGCCTTGAAGACACCCACATTGTAATTGTGATTGGGACATAATGTCATATGGAATCTTGTTATGGGGTAATGCGACTGACATTGAAACTATCTTTATTTTACAAAAGAGACCCATAAGGCCTGAATTCCTCCTACGCTGACGTCGGTTGCGTCCGGTCGGTCGCGTACGTAAACGAGAAATAAAATACCATAGTGCGATACCGAGCGCTATACGGTACAGTCGTCTGCTACGTGGATTTCGAAAAAGAGATCGGTAAGTAAAATAAAATGTTAATAATTATGATTAATAACATTGTCTGTTACTTACCGATCTTTTTTTTTACTATAGTCTTCATTATTGTAATCGAGAAATAAAGCCTCGAAAACTGCTATTCAGTATTTTGCTCTCGCATCACGATCTTTGCACAAATAATTAGATCAATAATACGTTCTGTATCGATATTCTTCGTAATCGAATTCATTGCAACTTTACGTGTACGCGTGTATCGTCGGTAACAGACTGAGGGCTCTCGCACTATTCCACTCTCGTCAGCCGACCGACGTACGCGGCGATGACGAGCGAGACCGATGTAGTAGCAACCTACACGCCGCTGTCGTCAGCGTCGTAGTGTGAGGCTATATAGAACAAAATGTACATTAGTACGCGCGACCGACGTACGCGACCGACGTCAGCGTAGGTGGAATGCAGTCCTAAGAGCAAAAAAATTAATGTTTATACAAAAAAACTAAAATACTTTAACTTGAACTTTAATAAACTCATGTAAGCACCTCTTAATCACTTTCTCTCACTGACTGCCTCGTTGCTCTAGTGGTCGTAACCGCGACTGCTAATCATGAGTTCACGGGTTCGAATTCTTGGTCGGGTCGAAAAAAATTATTGAGTTTTTCTATCAAGAAATTCTCAGGGGCATCCTTTGGAATCCTAGCCGGAGTCGGCAAGTCAGCGGTGTTTACCCCAGTGCCTCGGAAAAAAAGCCGTTGGTCTTGGGCATGATTTCTCTCCGGTCGTGTCGGCTTGCCGTCCCGTCGGACTATAAGAGCGAGGAAATAGAGAGTGCACCTGTGCTTGCACTCGTGCACTATTATTCTGTCCTGCACAGATGGACTCCATTAAGTGTGGCCGCTGTGACCGAAATCCGGTTGGATAACATTAATTAATTAAATTATTCACATTTTTTTAAATGTAATAAGGTATCAAAGTAAAAAAAAAATGTCGA